AAAGGAAAAGAAAAGAAAAGAAAAGTAAAAAAAAGGAACCAAAAAAAAAAAGAGAGATGAGGAGATCAATGGATTCAGTTTAAAAATTTCATTTTCATTCATTATAATATATAATATACATATATTATTTTATATATTATAATATATATATATATATTCATTATAATTTTTTTTATTATAATGAATATATATTATATTCATTATAATTATATTATATATATATATATATATATATATATAAAATATAATTTTATATATTAAAAAAAAAATTTATATACATATATATATATATAATAATACAATGTTAATTGTCTGCATGCTTATGGATCGGATTTACGAGGCGAGGCACCATGAGGTAGAAGGATAACGGGATCAGGATGCATAATCGGTTAGCGAGGCCGAATATTAATAGCGGATGGGGGACAGGGAGGCAGGATATCGGAACCGCATTACTTCCAATGCTGACATCGGGATCGGGATCGGGAGCTAACACCTGCATCCTTGACGTACGGTGGTATGTAACACCCACACTATCACGATACACTGCCGCTTTGCCGTATCTTACTTGGTTACAATTTTACCGTTATCCGGAAGGCATATCTTTCTTTACCAACCGGCAATGCACTTCCTCTATTATATCAAAATCTTCGTCACACGTTGAATATATTCGAGGAACGAACGAATCAACTACGAGTTCGATAAAAAAAAAAAAAAAGAAAAAAAAAAGAAGACAAACGAAAAGAAAAATCTATAACCCCCCACCCCACCCCACCCCACCCCCACCCCGCCGCCGCCCACGCTCCTTTAAATTTAATGATAACGATACTATGTTTCTGAGTTTGTTAGGAAAAAATGAAAAAATAAATTAACGAATACAAAAATCGAACGAATTCGTTAGAATCGATTTTACGTCGTCGAGTTTCTTAAAAAAAAAAATAAGAAATAAATACAAAAAAAAAAAAAGAAAAAAAGAAAAATTAAACGATTACCTCGCTCGACCTTATTACAAGCCTACTCTGGTGTTACGAGTTTTTGTTACAAGAAAAAAAAAAAAAAGAAAAAAAAAAAATGGAAAACAAAATAAATAAATAAATAAATAAATACAAAAATCAAACGATCTCTCCCGCAAATTCGTTAGAATCGATTTGACGTTGTCGAGTCTGTTAAAAAAAAAAAAAAAAAAAAAAAACAAAAAAAAAGAGAAAAAGAAAAATTAACGGATTCCTCCCTCGAACTTATTACAACTGATGCTGATGTGCATTGCGAAAAGTTCCTTTTTTACTGTTGGAAAAAGGGATAAACAAAGGGAAAAAAAAAAAAAAAAAAAAAAGAAAAAGGGAAAAAAGAGCGAATTAAAAAATAAAAAAGAAAAGAGGGGAAAAAAAGTTTCACGCAGCTCGTTACTTCGATGTCGCGGTCATTCCAAGGTCAACACCAAAGTCTCCTTCCGCATAGATTCTTTCTCGTACGTTTACGAGCTCGAACTGTGTGCCCTTCTCTCTGACTACCACCACCCTCCCCTACCCCTCTCTCTCACTCTCTCACTCTCTCACTCTCTCTCTCTCTCTCTCTCTCTCTCTCTCTCTCTCTCTCTCTCTGGTGTGTCTTTACCGACTGACGACGGGAGCTCGACTTAAAACGATTTATTCGAGAAACTGGATTAAACGGAGCGAGAAAGTTCCGTTGTCGTCGAAAGCGTCTGGGGCATTAACATGCGTGACCACCTTGTTCGAAATCGTCCTTGGTCTTTCCAAGAACGCGCTTAACGCTCGTCTTTCTCTCTCTTTCTTTCTCTCTTTCTGTCTCTCCCTCTCTCTCTCTCTCTCTCTCTCTCTCTTTCTCTCTCTTTCTCTCTCTCTTTCTTTTTCTTTCTCGACCAATCGGTATTCCGTCTGTTCGCCATGAGAAAATCTTTCAACTTACATTTTTATCGATCTTGCTCATCGTCCCACATTTTGGTACACCACACCAACAATCAATACGTGATCTCAATATATTCAATTTATCCGCGCAAATCTCTTGTCATTGGTCTATTACCTATGAAATTTTTACGAATTTATATCATTGACGATTTTAAATAATTCTTTTTTGGTTCTTTTTTTTTTTTTTATTCTCTCGAAACTTTATCATAGAAAATATTTGAGGAAATAATATTAATTGAATGGAAATATTCCTTGACGAAATTTACATGTATACGTGTATATTTTGTTTTCTTCTTCTTCTTCTTCTTCTTCTTCTTCTTCTTCTTCTTCTTCTTCTTTTTCGTTTTTTTTTTCCTTTTTTTTTCCTTTCATTTCATTGTTGTAAAGGAACAAATCGTCAATCGAAATTCTTTCGTTCCTACGAAATTTTTAAATAATAATATTACATTTCGTTGCGAAGTATCCATGAAAAGATTTCCTCAATCGATTAATGCAGCCATTAACTCCTATGGGTTTTTTTTTTTCCTTTTTTTTTTTTTTCTTCACATTGGCCTGAATCGATCAGCAAAGGCTATTGTTATCTTAATTATAAGACATTATGATAAATATGCACGCCTACGTATGATATATAGTATGTTATGTTATATATATATATCTGTATACATTTACATCAATGCATGGGAATATTCGTTGTTGCATCAAATATATATATATATATATATGTATATATATATATATATATATATATATATATATATATATATGTATATATATATATTTTTTTTTTTATATTTTGTTATTTGTTTTATCGTAATAATTTTCTTTTTTCTTTTCTCTTTTTCTTTTTCTCTTCCTTTCTTCTTTTTTTTTATTTTTTATTTTTTTTTTTTTTTATTTTTTTTTTCTTCTTAATATCAATAATTCTCCGCTGATCGATCGAAGAGAATTATATCTTGCGAAATAACGACTTAGTCAATTAGAATGGTAAAATAAAAAATGCAAAATCCGGCATTCCTATTCAGAGTTTCATCCGTTAATAGCTTCCTATGTCTATATTTTTCTATTTTTTTGTTCCATTTATTCTTTTTTCTTCCTTCCTTTCTTTTTGTTTAAACGATTAAAGATTTATATATTTATTACGTTTTACATTGCGATTCGTAATATACATATATGTAATAAATAATAAAGATATTATAGTGATTGTTATTCACCGGGGGGAGGGGGTTTTTTTTTTAAACAATTAACGATTTCGAAAGATACGTACATACGCATTTTTTTTATCATCGCAGAAAGTACACGATTGAATCAGAGAAAAATAATAAATGAATAGATCGTTCAAACGAGAAACCAAAGGAAAAAAAAGAAAAAAGAATGAAAAAAGACAAGAAAAGAAAACGAAAAAAAAAAAAAGAAAAAAAAAGAAAAACAGAAATAAATAAAGGCAAACTCGAATGTAATAAAATATTATTTATATATAAATTCGAATATAATAATATATTATTCCAATGAATATATGAAATTAAAAACACATTGTATTGTAGTGATCAAGTATTAATACTAGTATTAGTATTGATATCAGTATGCACGCACACATATACACGCAGGATAAATAGAAATACAAAAGATATCTTCCTTATTCGTAATCACTCATCCGCAAATAACGAGAGCGCCGAGTTGTAACGTTACGTATGTAAGTACCTATGTGAGTATATACATGTGTAATTTGAGAGGGTAAAATAAAGAAAAAAAGAAAAAAAGATAATAAAAAAAAAAAAAAAAAAAAAAGAAGAAGAAGAAACAAAGTTCCCTCCGACAATCTATATCGTGCGATGAGTTTGATCGAAAAACAAAAAAAAAGAGAAAAAAGAAAAAGGAAAAAAGAAATGTGAAGGAAAAAAATTAACGAACCGTTCTTACATAAATTTATTTTTGTCTTTTTTCTTTTTTTTTTTTTTTTTTTTCATATCCTTCCTCCTCTCTTTTTTCTTTTTTTCCCTTTATTCGATCGGATCAAATGGAAGGAGAAGGAGTTACGAGGAAAAAAGAAAAAAAGAAAAAAGAGAAAAAAAGAAAAAAAATAGGAAAAGAAAAAAAGAAAAAAAGAGAAGAAAAAAGTAAAGAAAGGAACAAAATCGAGAAAGGAAAAAAAAGGAGCATCTGATCGTGGCCTGGGTTGAAGCCACCGCCGCACCGCCGCGCACTATCGCACCGCAGCGTCGTTAAGTACCTCCGGATGGCATTTTCTGCGGAGGCCGAAAAAAAAGAAAATGGAGGGTAAAGGTACATCGCTAAGGAGAGAAAGAGAAAGAGAAAGAGAATGATATATACATATATACCAATATAGACATATACGTACGGACACAGACAGACATACATAGATACACACAGACAGACATACACAAACGTACCTTATATAAAGAAAGAGGTACCGTGAAGTACGTGGATAGCTCTTTTCTCAAAGTAACGTCGCGAAGAAGCGAAGAAGAGACAACAAACGATGAGGAGTGAAGAGAGGATTCAAAGAGCAAAGGAGGGAGGATAGAAGGGGGAGGGAGGGAGGTAAAGGGAGATTCAGAAGGAGGAGGAGGAGGAGGAGGAAGAAGGAGGTAGTGATGGTGGTAGTGGAGGTGCTGATCGTAGTAAGGAGGTAAGAGGAAAAGGTGCAACGAAGAGAAAGAACGAACCATGGAGGTGGAGAGGGGGCTATGGCGGTGGCAACGACGGCTACAACGGTGGGTAGAGGAGGGGAAAGGGGAGATAAGAGTAAGGAAGGGCACAACACGTGACCGATGCCTTATATAAAGTTCGAGATCCCGTAGACCCCGAACACAGAGAGATCTCTTTCTCCTTTTCGAACGGAGTTTAAGAACGTGGTGTAATAATATTAAAAGTGTCATCTTTTTGTTTTGTTTAAATATTTCGAGTAACACGAGGAAAAAAAAAAATAATATTCTAGAGAGGGAGATATATATATATATATATATATATATATATATATATACATACACATACGTATTAAGATTTTTGTTTTAAAATTAATTGACGTTAAATAATAAAGTTGATCGTAAAGAGAAAGAGATATATATATATATATATATATATATATATATACATAAAATATATCGACGTTAATAAATAATTAACGGGAACGAAAAAGAGAAAGACCGGAAGACAAAGGGAATCCATCAGGAACATATTTTTTTAATCAACATGAGGACGTACTACGTGATAGCCGCCATTCTGATCGCCGGTATGTAATTCGTAAAAGAAGTTAATCGTGCGTGTTGAAAGGAATATCGAGGAGAAAGAAAAGGCAAAAAATGAAAAGAAAAAAAAGAAAGGGGGAAAAAGAAAAAATAGGGGTACGCGCAAGCGGGGGTTACCAAGGGGAACGTGGAGGGTGAGGAGGTGGCCGCCTATCCCCCTCCTCCTTTTCCTAAAGTTATAAGTGGAACTGCGTGTAAGAGAGAAAGAGAGAGAGAGAGAGAGAGGAGAGAGAGGACGAACGTATTCTCGAGGCTATGATTAACGAAAAACAAACGCGAGTTTAAAATTTATCTTTAAGTCCTTGATCCGATCCGATCCAATCCAATTCTATTCTATTCGATTCAATTCACATCGCGTCCCATTTTCGTATATACGGAAAGTGAATCTCAAAATGACGATTATGACGACGAACTAAAGTGTGTGAAATATTTGCATGTGAATATTTTTCAAACTATCATCTTATTTACTCATTTCATCGATTTTATCTCGAAAGATTTTCTTTCTTTATACGGAGTGCAGATATATATATATATATATAATGTACATAACCGGACGTCCATTAAACACGTCGTTCTCCTGAAGTAGTTGTTATCTCTCTTGGCTGACTATCAATGTTTTTTTCTACTTCAAATTATACGTCAATTTTAAGAAACAATGAAAGGGCCCTGGCTCTTTTGCACGAGACTCGAAATAAAACGCGATCTTACGTAAAACTTTAACGAATAAATTGTAAAACGTAAAACGTGACAAAATAATTTACGAATCAAAATCGATCTTTTATTTCAAAATTAGATTTTTTTTTCTTTTTTGTCCGCGAAATATAAGCGATAAAACGGTGAATAACGTTCGTTTTTTAATATTTTCTTTTTTTTTTTTTTTTTTTTTTTTTTTTTTTAAGTATTCGAATTTTTTTTTCACCTCTTACGTCTTAATTCTTAAGCCGATTACGTTTAGTCTTACGTTTTTTGCATCGATCGATGACTAAATGAAAGAGAGAAACAGAGAGACCTCTCGCTTAACCCTGAGAAAGTTACTGATCCAACTTCTTTTTTTTTTTTTGTTGTTGTTGTTCCTTTCCTTTCTTTTCTTTCTTTTCTTTTTTCGTGCAATAAATAAATAAGTAAATAAAATAAATAAATAAATAAATAAATAAATAAATAAATAAATAAATTTGTTCAGATTATAACGCGACAGCCATCGTTAAATAGCGTCAAAACATATATAAACCTATTTATTTATTTATTCTTCTTATATATATATATATATATATATATATATATATATATATAATATATATATTTTTTTTTTTTATTTTATTTTATTTTCTTTCACTTTTATTTCTTTTTATTTTCTTCTTTTTTCTTCTGTTTTTTATAAATATCTTTTCAAGTCCCACTTACTCATCGATCGTTATGTTGTTAAACAATAATAAACTAAAATACATTAGGGATTAATAATATTAGAGATATCGTTTGAAAAGTCTTGAAACTTTCTACTCTTATCTCTCTACGCTTTTCATTATGATTTTACCTCGATACATCTCATAGAAATATATATATATATATATATATATATATATATATATATATAATATAATCGTATAGGAAATAAACACGTGGGCATATCTGTCCGTAATACATATCATTAACCTCGATAGTATTAATCATACCGAGATATGAGAAAGAAGTAATTAAGAAAAAACAAAAAATTAGATTCGTCCCATTTATTCGAACGAAAAACAAAAAATAAAAGACGGAGGACGGACCGAAATAAAAAAAAAAAAAAGAAAAAAGAAAAGAAGAAAAGTAGAAAGAAAAATAAAAAAAAAAAAGAAAAAAAAAATAAGAAAAAAAAGGAAAAAGAAAACAAAGGCAAAAAATATTTCTATAGGATTAAACGGAACGTTCAAAATTGAAATTTTAAAATGTTAAGAATGAAAGTGATAAACGTAGGGAATTAAAGATGGAGGAATAAAAATATAAATGAAAGAAATAACTTATACATTAATAAATGAAAGAAAAAGGGATAGAGATAATGAACATGTACGACGAGGAAAGAATGAAAGAAAATGAAGGAAGAAAAAGAAAAAGAAAAAGAAAAAAAAAAAAAAGAAAAAAAACAAGAGATAAAGGAATGGAAAGAAATGATAAAGTAAGAGATGATAACGTACGAGACGATAAAAAATATTATTTAAAAGAGCATAACGACAATTTTTCTTATATATTTGAAAATTTATATCAGAACAGTCTTCGAAAGCGAAACGGAGAAAGTTTTTCGTTCATTCGTCTGTACGAAGACCACACCTTCGTTTTTGAAAACATCGAAGCCATTGAAGGCATTAACAAACACGACGAAAATAAAATAAAACGCGGGAAGGTGAGACGATGCGAGCTGGGGTGGTTGAGGGGTGGGAATGAATAGAGAAGACAGAAAGTGAGAGAGAGAGAGAAAGAGAGAGGCTCCTATATAAGTTTGCGACATAAGAACGGTGTAATTCGTTCGAGAACTCGAACTCCTTCCCCTTTCGTTTGACATACGAGAATAACCTTGGCCCGGATTTTAACTCATCTCTCTCTCTCTCTCTCTCTCTCTCTTTCTTTCTCACTCTCTCACTCTCACTCTCTGTATCTCTGTCTCTCTCTTTCTCTCTCTCTTTCTCTCTCTCTCTCTCTCTCATCATTTTTAATTATGATCGTCCAACCGTACTAAAAGAGGATCAAAGCGTTCAAGGATAGATAATATTACTTAAGAATGAAATTAATTAAATTCAATAAGACGATTTATTTGAAATTAATATTTAAGATTCGATATAACGTGATAAGTACCTCCTCCTCCTCCTCCTTCTCTCTCTCTCTACTCCTTCTTCTATTTCTTTTACTCCTCTACCCCTTCCCCCTACACCCTCAATTTCCTCTATTCATAATGCGGAAGTTTCATTTCACGTTGATTCAAGCGTAACTAAATTAATCGACTAAATTCAAGGAACTATTGGTATTTCGTTAGATCTATTAAATATAGAAAAAAGGAAGAGTTAGAGTTAGATAAAAAAATTAGAAATGTATAAATCGTGTATATGCGTTAATTTATATGTTAACGTTTGTACCAATGATATACGAGTGATCTTTCTCTCTCTCTCTCTCTCTCTCTCTCTCTTTCTCTCTCTCGCTCTATCTATCTATTTATCTATATCTCTATCCCTGTCTCTCTTGATCCATATAAATTCGTTCTTGAGTTGATATGAGCTACGTGGCATATGAACGTGGCACGCATATGCATAAGCAAGATTTTATATTTCTATAAGTTGCTAACTCGGTGATAGTCGAAGGAACGTAGAACAGAAATGAAATGAGTGAACGGGATGCTGAAAGGGCCCAAAGCCACCATCACCATTACCACGACCACCATTACCGTTCACGATCACAATCACCATCACCTCCAAGTACCACCAACACCTCCAAGTACCTCCACCACTACCAATTGGAAACAACCACTCCAGCAACAACTCTGTTATTGCTGCACCGCCGGCTGGCTGCTGCTCCTATCCGGCTGGCTCTGGGCCCAAAGTGAAAGCGTCTGGCGAAAGTCAGCTCTGTATCCTTACATAACGCATTCGCTTATTCCAACGGCCATCTTACATAGATACATATATATTTATATACGTGTATACATATATATATATATGTACGTATACACGTACATATATTTATGTATGTATTTATTTATTTATGTATGTATGCATGTATGTCGTGAGGGAAAGAAAAGAGAGGAAAAGAAAAAAAAGAAAAAGAGAAAAAGAGAGAGAATTTATTCCGGCACAGAAATCGCAAGAATTATTTCGAATTACAAAAATCTCTCAGTAACGTAACTAGTCAAATGTATTTTAATAGGGCTATTAAAATTATTATTGGCTATTAATTACACTCAAGAGAAACGTCTATTCTTTAATGTTACGTTTAATCTCGATCTAATCTTTCTTTTTTAAGTTATTGAATATCTTTTCTTTTTCTTTTCCAGTTTTGTTTTTAATCGTTCTCACGTTGTCACCGTAAAATGTCTCGTGAAATTTGATAAAAATTAAAAAAAAAAAAAAAAAAAAAACTAATGGAATATTATAGTTATTACTTTTAATATTTCGAAGGATGATATTAAGATATCTCGATTTGTCTTAATCGTCGAACGTTTGTTCGATCGAATTTTGCGATTTAAAAGGAAAAAAAGAGAAGGAATATAATTATTTAACAAAAAAAAAAAATCAAATTAAAATTTTCTTAAATAATAATTTAACGAAAAAAAAACCGTTTCACTCTTGATTTGTTTTGTTTTTTTTTTTTATCTAATTCTCGAATTCTTTTAAATATCTTTAGAAAAATAGAATGAAAATAATACTTCCTCGATGAAATTCTTCTATCATTTCGTGAATCTGTCGTGTATTTTGTTTACGTTTTATAATAACGTACCATTATTATCTCGGTTTCTTTTCCATTCTACTCGTATATTTTAAAGGAACAAATTATTTGACGAGCGATAGAGAAATAAAAAAAAAAACCCGCCCTCCTCCTCCCTCAACCCCTCCCCCCCCCCACGCCTTCCAACGTGGCGTTAGACACGATTTCTGG